AAATGCTTGTTCAGAGTTTGAGAGTGGCTGCTTTGTGCAAGAAAAATGCCAAAGATTAAGCCCTTATCGTGTCTAGTGTCTACCCCTCCCATGTTCCTTAATAGCTGGGGCCAACATTGACAATGGACTTTTTTAAGAAAAAAAAAATTATTTTGTAGTGTTGTGATACTTATATCTTATATTCTTATGTAAGCAGATACAAGTCTTTTTTTCTTGTTTTGTAGTCATAGGGATTCTATAGATCAGGTTTTTGTCTCTGTGTTTTTGCCTAAGCTACTTAGTTGTGCTCCATTCCCTTACCTTCACGTCATGATCTCTAGTGACTGGTATTGTGTACCCAGAAGAGATTTCCTGTAGTACTTGCCATTCACTTAAGGAGGATGATTTGACCAATTAGAGATCCTTTATAATGCATGCACATACAAATACGTGTAGGTATCAGGAAGTCTAAGTTCCCCATTGGAAACTAAAAGCATGTCATCCATAATACTTGTGGTTTGAATCATGTCTAGAGTTCACTACTTCACTATGCTTGATATGGATCAATAACCTGGTTGTAATCCCTTGTTTTTCATCTTGGCACCAATGATGCATGATTGTTGCATTGTCTCAGCTCTTGTTAAGTTCTGTTGTTACAGTTTCCAAAGAAAACAGACATTGAAATAAATTCTTCTTTATTTTCGCTTAAGTTGTGTTTGGTTTGATATAAAGTAATAGATCAACGGAAAGTTGGGGGAAGTTCTTAAGAAATTTCACAAAACTCCTTAAATACTTTCCCTTAAACTTTCTATTTCTCTTTTATTTTCTATCAAATCAAACATAGCCTTTATTTTGTGGATGTTAAAATTTGTTGTTATCTTAAATCTGATGGCGAACTTTATCCTCTTGAAGGCTTTCATGTAACTCAACTGGCTTGCCAGTTATCTTTCATGCCAATTTTTTTACTCTCTCTCTTGGAAACTTATGGAATATTACCTCTGGTTTTTATTTCTATGAGATTCCTACTTTATTAGCCTGGTCAATTTTAATACATGATGAACAGGTACTCATCATGGACAAAGTTACTGTCAAGGTCATGTCTTACTCATGCAAGATGGCTGACATCACAGAGGAAGGAATCTCATGTAAGCAACAGAAACCACTCTTTGAAAAGTTTCAAGCTTTACTTTTTATTCTTAGATATTGGTTTGGTTTTTCAGCTTGAGTGATGTTGTTTCTCCATTGGTTTCTTGGTTAGAGTTCACTATGTTTTCAATGATTCTTGCAGTGGTGGAAGACCTTTTCAGGCGAAGACAACCATTGCCCTCCATGGATGCTATTTACTTCATCCAGCCAACAAAAGAAAAGTAAATAATTTCCTTATCTTTGCAATTTGATAGCCATTTTCTTGGTTCCTGTTAGAGAGAAACTGTATAATTTTTTTTTTCTATCATTTATAGGTAGAGTCTTGTTTACCTTTTTTCCATTCTTTATATATTACAGTACATGAGTTAGTTACCTCAATTATAACTGCACCTGTATCATCTGCCCTTGTGTTCCCTTTCTTCTCATTTCATGGAGGTTGGAGTAACCTGGGATTCTTAATCAAAATCTGGAAATGGGCTATTTTAAACTGTAAAGTAATGCAACTAAATAGACAAACACATTAAGAGTTTCACATGCTTGAAGCACTTGGGTACAATCCACATTTCTTTACTTTTACTTTAACTTTGAATTTGTTTTATGTCAAGGTTGCTTGCTTTGTCCAGGCATATGGCTTGTATTGCACATTGGGGAGGGCTTTTGGGCTTTACAGGAATTGGATATAGGGGTTTGATTACTTTGATATTGTATTTTGTGTTTTTTATTTTCTGTAGTGTTTGATTTTTTGGTGATCATTCATCACCTATTTTTCTTTTCTTTTTATTTTAATGATTTTTTTTTTAAATGGGAGCCATTAGAGACGGGTTTCATAAAACTCAATTTTGATGGTAGCAGCATGGGGAATATGAGGCCTTCAGGAGTTGGAGGTGTTTTTAGGAATGAAGAGGGCCAAGTTGCTGCTATGTTGGAGGGTTTGCAGCAGGCGAAAGATCTCAATTGGAAAAAAATAATCATTGAAGGTGATTTGAAGGTAGTGATAGTGTGGTTGTTGAATGATGAGGGAGTAATTTGGAGCTATAGGAATTGAATTAAATAAGTTTAGATGGCTGATTAGAAACTTCCAAGTAAAAACTCATTGAGTACAAAGATTGTCTAATTCTTTGGCTGACACATTAGCAAAAAAAAGGGGTGGTCAGAAGTCAGCCCTGACTTCTACTGTAGTACTTATTGTATTGTTTTCTTATTTATTATTTTTTTTTCACTTCAGCCCTGCAAGGGCCTCTCTGTAATTTTTGAAATTTCACTTTCTATATAAAGACCCTTGGGGTAGGGTCGAATCATTCATTCTTCATCCCCAAAATTTTGTATTTTGCTCTGGGTCTATTGACATGGTATTAGAGCAAGCTGTTCTTTCCTTGCTCATTTGTTGGGCATATTAGGGTTTCTGTTCTCAGGGTGCTTTTGGCTGGTGTTAGGGCTCTTCTAACCGTTGTTCCTCTTGAAGGCTTCTGTTTGGAAGGATTTCTGACCAGTTGTGTCACCTAGAACCTTCTTCTTTCCCTCAGAAAATCAGCAGAAACTGGCAAGTCTTGGAGGAGTTCCGGTCTTCTCTCCTAGGCGGTAGCACTTTTGTTTTCTTCCTCTGACTGTGTACTGATTTCTCTTGGGCGGCAGCAGCCTTTCTCTCTGTGGTTCAGTTTCGAACAGTTACAGATTAAGGAGTCTCAACAATTTGGCTGCTTCCTCCCTCAATAGCAGCAGTATTCGAACCTGGTTTCTTCTTCTAACTGAGGAACTTCAAAAGACATCAAGTCTTCTCTTCAAAACTGATATGCAAAACTTCTCATTCAGGTTGGTGCATCACACTATTGTCATAACCGACTGTTATCAGTCCTTGGAACCCTAGTTTTTGTGCTGCCCTAGGGTATTTTCTCTTGGTTATCAGTTCTTGGAACCCTAATTTGTGTTGCCCTAATTCTGTGGTGCTATTGGAGGAATTTTCATTCTTCTCTAAAGTTTCCTGCTGAAGTTGCCTTGGATTTGTCTATATTTCATGCCTCAGCCCTCATTTTACTTTTACGAAGAATACTGTGTTCAGCTGAAGTAATTTTTTCTACCTTGTTCATTGCTGATTTGAGTACTTTTCCAACATCAGTACTGCTATTCTGGGTTGTTTTTTGCTCGTTTATGATGGCTGAAAAGGTTGATTTTCTCCCTAAAAATTTTGATGGAACTAACTACAATATGTGGAAGTTCCATTTTGATTTCTATGTTGAGGGAAAGGGACTTGAAGGTTACTTGAATGGGACTATAAGTAAACCTAATGAGGCTGAGGCTGATAGTAAAGCCTATACACAATGGAAGATTGACAATAGAAAGTTAGTCTCTTGGATTTTGAACTCCATTGTGCCTCACATTAGTGTTCCTATGAGAAGACTGAGGACTACCTATGAGATGTATGCCTATTTGAAAAAGGTTTATCATTAGTCCAATATATTACGACAATACTAGATTGAATCTGAAATCTTTGCTTATTACCAGGGGGACAAAAAGATACAAGAATACTATTCAGGCTTTATTGATCACTGAGCTGAATATGGACTTGTTCATACTGAACCCTCTGATCCCGTTGAATGTGTCAAGTATTTGCAGAAACAATCTGAAAATAGGAAAGTTAACCAATTTCTCATGAGGCTGAGACTTGAGTATGAAATAATCAGGTCAAATATTTTGAGTAGAGGAACTCTTATAGACTTGAACTCTATGATGGGAGAGTTGTTGAGGGAAGAAACTAGACTCCTAACTACTGCAAACATAAGAGGGAAACATTATGTTTCAGGGATTGATACTGTTTTTTCTTACACGGGGGAATAAGAAATCTGGTGGAAAGGACCCTTCCAAAACTCAATGTTATGAATGTAAAGAATATGGTCATATAACCTCTCATTGCAAAAAGAAGAATGTCTGCACATATTGCAAACATGGACATATCATTCCAGATTGCCCAATTCGTCCACCTAAGGGACCTATGAAGAAGAATCATTTACGAGCTTATCAAGTGTTTGGGGGACGAGTGTCCGATACCCCTATTGCCAAGGGAGAATCCTTGACTTCCATAAATAAGGAAGAGATACAACAACTGGTATCTTCTTCCATCTCATCTGCCTTTTCTGCTATTGGCCTATCTGGTGAGTTCTCCGGTTATTGCTCTTCTCCCGTTTGGATAATTGATTCTAATGCTACAAATCATATGATTGAGGCCTATCTTGAACCTTCATAGATATTGTTTGAGACCAATCATCGACACATTGTCACCACTAATGGTGAGAAATTTGACATCATTGGGAGTGATGACTTGTGTATCAAACTTTCCCCTTCAAAATCCTTGTTCCTTGCTAAAACCTGCTTTGTTCCTAAACTTACTACCAACCTTATTTCGGTTGGTCAATTAGTTGATGAAAGTCATATTTTAACCTTTTTCCTCTGATGATTGTTTGATTCAGGACCAGTGCACTAGGAAAGTGAAAGGGAAGGTGTGTAGGATGGATTGCTTGTTTGCATTGGAGTTTGAAAAATCTCCATCAACATCATCCTCTACTTTTTTGAGCTCTTCTACATTGAGTCTTGGTTTGAGTCAAAAAAACTATGTTTGGGATTTGTGGCATAAATGCTTGAGCCACCCAAATTATAAAAAACTTAAATACTAGTTTGATTCTGGTTTTATTAAAACTAATTTTTCTTTTATGAAATCCTTTGATAGATCTTGTGTTTCTTGTTGTTTGAATAAGAGTCATATTTTTCTATTCACTCACCAAGTTGAACATGCTACTTCACCTTTTGAAATTATTTATATTGATGTTTGGACTTCTAATGTTGTTTCTCTTCTTTCTTTCTTCTCTGTTCTTCTCTATCATTTAGGGCTGAAACCAGTACAGATCAGATCTGTAACACTTTGATGGTAGTGCTTTAAGAAACCTAGGGATGATTGGCATTAGTAATGGCAATTTTTCAACCAAACCTGCTAACCCACCCAATCCACCCATTAATTGACAGGTTGGATTGTGTGTATATAATACCGGGTGTGGTGGGTTGGTTAACCCATTGAAAGAACATTTAAATGGATTAAGTGGGTAGGGTCATGGTTATCCAACAGGTAACCCATTGCTTTTGACATTTTGATTTTTCTCTCTCTGGTTCGTCACTTCACCATTTTCATCTTTCTTCTTTCATCTCTTCCATGACAAAGATAGTCTCCTAACCCTAGATTCTTCTCTCACTCTATGCTTGTCTCCTCATCTCCCTCCCTCTCTAAGCAATCAAATTCTTTGTTTCTCTTCTCTCTTTACAGTTTTCTTAACAGTTTTAGGCCAATTGAAATAAGGAATGAAGCTTATGATCATCTCCATGACTGCAAACCCCGCATCAGTGGAATTAATAGCAGAGCTGCTATTTTCGTCAGGTTTAGCGATTGGGAAAACCAGTGAGGTGAGGAAGCAAACTCCGATTGCAATGGCGAAAGGTGTGTCGCTCTGCTCTTCATTTTAAAGTTCTAAACTAGGGTTATGAATTTGAAAATTTCGAAGTTCAAACCAAGAATTTTGTTTTTTATAGAGATAATTTGTTCCTTTGTTCATCATCAATCAGACGGTAGTAAATGATTATAGAAAATCAAATCTAATCTGGGAAAGGAGTACAAGTTATCTGTGTCAACATCTTAAGTGCTTGCTATGATGTTATGTGTAGTCAGACATGCTTGAGCATTGATTGATGTTTGTTAGTTGTCAACAGGAAGAAATGGGCCCCACTTTATTTCAATACTACTTTTGAGTGGGTTGAGTGGTAAACATTGGACGTTTTCAGTGGTAGAGATGGAATCTCATTCAAGTGGTGGGTATTGAGATGGCAGATCATAAGCCGATTAATCTTATTATACGGATAAAACAGTTTGCATAAAACCACAAAGTCCACATCTTTTTTCAAAAATCTGGTAGTCAAGGAGATTACAACATTGAGGAGCCATTAGATTACCGGTGAAGTTGTTGAACTGAATGACTAATATTTTAAGGGAGTTTGTGAGTTCTTTAATGGCTTGGATTGTTTATCTTTTTTTTTTCATTTTCTATTTTGTTATAACTTTTATTATATTTTCCTATAACTTTTGTTAATTTCTCATTTTCTATGTTTGTATAATTTTTGTTATGTTTTTCTGTAATTTTTGTTATTTTTTGCATTTTCTATATTTTTTATAATTTTGTATTTTCTACAATTCATGTTGCTTTTTTATGTAATTTATGTATATCTAGGATTAATGGGTCAAGCAAGTTGGGTTTGGTCAAGGGAGATTTGAGTTAAATTCAATCCATTTTATTTTCTCTAAATGGATCATTAACGGGTTTGTGGGTTAGATGGGTTGAAGCTCAAACCCAAACCCACCTGATTGGCACCCCTAATTGGCATTGGTTGTGTGATCAGGGAGAAGGATGGTAATATCTTTTGGGCCTTCAGTGGTCCAATTGGAACAACAAATTCTACCAAGTCTGATGCTTTGGCAGCTCTTAAAGTGATCCGAATTGCTAAAGACTTGGGTTTTACAAGAATAGCTGTTGAAGGTGACACTGCAAACACAATCAAATGGTTAGGGGAGAAAGATGATGGCCCTTGGAAGCTGTTCCATTACCTAGCCGAGGCTAGAGACCTTTTGGGTGGCATGGATGCAAAGCTCACCTTTTGGGTGGTATGGATGCAAAGTTTGGGACTAAGAGAGATTCTCTCTATAGCAACTTTACTCTTCCTATGTAACTGAAGTCCGTCTTCATTTTCTTCTGTATTGTACATCTCATGTACTTTTTCTGATTTAATGAACATTGTTAACATCTCTCTCTCTCAAGAGATTAACAAATGGATTAGCAGACTATTTAGATAATCAAGGAGTGAACAGGGATCATATGTTTTGGTTCAATTATAATTTTTTTATATACTTGAGGCTTCATGTCACGCTTCTGGTGGGATGTCCTGTTTATCTACCTCTGTTGCTTCTATCTCTTGATTAGTAATAAAATTTTATCATTATTTATCAAAAAAAAAAAAACAAATTGAAGAGGCTAGAAGAGCTGGGGACATACCTAAAAGGACTTGAGTGGAAGTAGTAAGAAATGATTTAAGTGACCATAATTTGACAATGGATATGTCACTGAACAGAGTGAAATGGTGAAACAGGATTCAGGTAGCTGACCCCATATAGTTAGGGCAAGGCTTAGATGATGATAACGATTTTACACCTACAATATTATGTATATTCCCTATTCTCACTTTCATTCTCCATAAATTCTCTTCTCTTGATTACTTTTGTTTTATTTTTATTTTTATTTGTGCAAGTTCTATCATGATTTTGAGTGTCTTTACATGTTCTCCTATTGCACCATGGCTTGGAGTGGTTTTTCCATCTTATTCTTTCATAGTTCAACACCCTTAGCATCTCTCATCTTTTGCACGAAGCCATAAAACACAGGAAACTAAAATTGATACTACATGTGGTATATTTTTGCCACAGATGGACAGATGGTTGCATTCTAACTCTGCTTTTGGTAACTTGCAGTATTGTCATGTTCTTGTCAGACATGTCTGGAAGAGTGCCTTTATACAAGAAGTATGTGAATGATTTACTTCCCCCCTTTCCACGATCTAGTTCTTTACATCTATGCTCTATAATGTTCAAATTAGTTTAAGCATTAATATTTCTGTACCAGGGCATTTGTTTTCTTCAGTTCACCTACTCCAAAAGAATTGGTTACTCACATTAAGAATGACACAAGTGTTTTACCTCGCATAGGTGCATTGAAAGAGGTTAACATTATCTTCTTTTTATATAGCTTTGCAATTTCATTTAATTAATCAGTAATTAGCTAATTATGTTCTAATAAAGTACATAATTTAACTATTGATCTTTTATCAGTATATTTCGAACTTTTCTTGGTGCTTTCATTATTGAAAAGTCTAGTCTTCCTGATACTGATTGTTTTCTTGTTTTGGTGAGGTATGCAGTTCAATTTGGAGTATTTTCCTATAGACAGTCAGGTATTTGCCAATACCCTTGCCTTTGTAAAATTCCTTGTTTAATTCAAATCATATAGGGGCAGGGACTTTTGCAAATACTTAATGGTGGAGATTACCATCATTCTGTGAAGGCCATTTTTGAATAAATTTCTTTCTCACAGATGATGTGAATTTTTATCTACAAAATACTGATTAGAACACGATCATGAAGGGCAATCCCCTTGGAAACACACCTTTCTGTCCATGTAGTATAGAAACCCTCTTCAGATTGACATTGTGCAAGAGAATCTGTTCTTTAAATTGGGTTTTAAAATCAATGCATCCTTTAGATAGTTCTAAGCTTTAATATGAACCAAATTATTTTTACTGCAATGGAACTTTCATGGTCAAAGTTTGAGTTGAATTTTGATTTTTTTTCATTTGAACTCCGGTAAGGAGTTGTTTGATAACAGCTTAAGTGGCTGAACCGAAAAAAGCTAATTTCTCTGTTTTTTAGTGAACATGTTTTTAGGGAGGTTGTGATCCTTAATGGATGAAGATGAAGTCGTGTAGATTATTGTGCCCTTGAATATTTTATTATTTAGTTATTTTATCCACTAAGGTAGTGTTAGAGGTTTTGAAGAAGCTGCAGTGGGCTCCAGTTGGACATATGTGGTTGGGTGTGGAGAGGTTTCTTTTCCTATGTAACGAGTTCTCTAGCATAGTCGGCGATGGAGACAATGGTGTGGAGTAGGAGTTTTCAGATTGAAGCAAAAAATCTGATTTTAGAAGATTTTAGAGGGCAGGATTGAAGGTATCTGAAGTTAAAGGAGGAGGAAATCTACGATTTTTCTAACCGAAGGAGAAATACGATGGCTAAAGGGTTTTGTGGATGGGGCGGTGTTCTCTGTTAGAATGGTAGGGTGGTGAAGTTCCATGAGCTCAGTAGATAGATGGTATGAGTCAGTGCAATGATGGAATAGAAAAGATTGGTATGTTACTATTACAGAGTTCACTGAAGAAGATTATAGGCAAATGATTTGCCTGCCGGAAGGGAAGGGAAGTAGTGACTGGTTGAGGTTTTCAGAAGATTTGCAAAAATATCTTTGTTTCTCAGCTTCGGATTCTTCGAGAGAAAAGATGCTGAATGTTTTTATGGAAGCTGATCGCCTTGCAACAACAGAGGAGAGTACGGAGCCCAATAGGGGTGTAGTGACAGCCAGTGATGATCAGAACAAACAGGGGTCGTTTATCATAGCTAGCTCACATAATACGCCAAAGTCAGTCGTTGGAAATGGAAAGCAGTGTTTGGGAGAAGAGATACGTTGTTACTGTAGAGGAGAAAGTGAGAAATTAGAAACCAATTCTGAACTCTGTGGTGGAAGATTTGAAGATAAAAAATAGTATCGCCTATCTTCCTTTTAGCAATAATAAGGTTTTTGTTGACGTAGGAGACGAAGTAGTGGAAGATTATTCAGCAAAATCTGTTGCAGGGTTGGTCTTGTTTGAAAAATGGAAGATGTCTTGTAATGAGAAAGAGTTCACGGAAGCAAGCACTACTGTTAAGCTGATAGGGTTTCCGTTCAACCTTTGGAAAGGGGATTCAATTGACAGAATAGTATCAGCGTTAGGTGATCTATGGAAGATTATGGTTTCGATGATCTGTACACTATAAAGGCCAAATTGTCTGGGGTGAAACCAGAATGTATCCCTCGTTCCTGTGACCTGTGGATTGAAGGACGATGGAGGAAGGTTTGCTACAAAAGGTGAAGTGGCACTGTGGGATGGCTATCCCAAGGTTGAAGAAGATGACAAGTTGACTTGGTGGTTTACACGCAGCAGGAAGGAAGAGGAGGGTGTGGGGAGCGGAGAAGAAGAGTCAGTCTCAAAAGTTGAACGGTCTAATGCTTTGCTTCGTGAAAAGAATTTAATGAAAAAGGAAATTTTTTTAAATCTTACTAGAGAGGCGAACAGAAGGGCGGTTCTCCCAAAGGGCATTGAGGTAATTTTGAGAGAAAACTGCAGAAAGGACAAGTGTTAAACAGGCACCTTATTTCGGTGAGAAGTATGGGACAAGTGGGCTTTTTTATCCGAAGAATCAAGATGGGCCGACTGATCAAGACAGCTCAAAAGACGGTGGGCCCAAGTCGATCAATCCTTTTGGTAGGCCTCCTAAGCACGTGCTGTTAAAAGATAGGTCGATTATGGACAGAAGTTTACGTCCATCATCATCTTTCTTAAGTCATGAGCAGGCTTCTCTTATGAATGGGAAGAGATAACAGAAAAGTTTTGTAGGATTTGGTTCACGTAGGAGGAGGGGAAGACTAGAGCGTTTAATCGGTTGAAGGTGACAAAAACAGCAGGTTCAAAAATCAAGTTTCCAAACTCCCTAGGAGCTTAGGAAAGAGGAAGAAAGAGACATGGAAATGGATGACCACAAGGTTCATCCGTTCTGGAGACACGAGCCCGCCAAGTCATCTGAGAAAATTGAAGGATGAAATAGGGCCAATTACAGTTACGGTTGGACCCCAACTGCTTTTGTCGATTTCATCCAGTGGCATCATTCAAGAAAAAGATGCGGCAGACAAGAACCAGCGGGGATTAAAGACAGCTATCCCCATGGATCTAGTTGAGATCCGAAGGATGTAGGAGAAAGAGAGGAAGACTTAAAGGTGAGCTTTGCATATATGTCATAACTTAAACTCAGATAAAACAGACTATTCAATCTCAATTAGAATGACAAAAGACCTAAATAACCTTGTAATGTCGATTCTAACACTCCCCTTCAAGCTAAAGAATATATCTCATATAGTCCCAGCTTGTCACATATGTAGTCCACTCTTCCCCGAGATAGTCCCTTTGTAAACAAATCTGTCCAATGGTTTTTTGAACTCACATGAATTATCACTCCATCGATCACTTTTTTTGTACAAAGTGGTAGTTGACTTCAATATGCTTTGTTCTCTCATAAAAGACTGGATTAGAAGAAATGTGTACAACAGTTTGATTATCACAGCACAATCTCATGGGCCTATCAATTGAGAATCCCATTTCATGCAAGAGATTTTTCAACCATACTAGTTCACATGTAGTATGAACCATAGCCTTGTACTCAGCTTCTGTACTGCTCCTTTCCACCACTGTTTGTTTCTTGATCTTCCAAGTTACCAGATTGCCACCAAGGAAGATACAATATCCTGTAGTTGACCTCCGATTTGACACAGATCCGGCCCAATCAGCATTTGTATACCCTTCTATCTTAAGATTTCCTCCATTTTTGTATAATAGACTACGACCTGGAGCACCCTTCAGGTACCTGACTATTCTTAGAACTGCTTCCCAATGTGGAACCCGAGAATATTGCATAAACTGACTCACCATACTTACAACAAATGGTATATATGACCGTGTGATAGTTAGATGGTTCAATTTTCCCACCAACCTCTTGTACCTTCTAGGATCATCAAAGTCTTCACTCGCATCAATACTCAACTTAGCATTGATGGTTTGGCACCTATTGATTATCAACCTCTTGTACCTTCAGTTCCATGGGAATTTTAGCTGGTTTGGCACCTAACAACCCTATTTCTTTAAGTAAGTCAAGGACATATTTCTTTTGACACAAGTTAATTCCATGCCTTGACCTAGCAACTTCTATTCCCAGGACGTATTTCAGCTTACCAAGATCCTTCGTGTTGAAGTGATCTTGTAGAAAGTTTTTCAACCTATCAATCTCATTCCTATCACTGCCACTTATGACAATATCATCCACAGACAGCACTAGTAAGATTTTTCCATCTTTTGAGTCACGATTGAATACGAAATGGTTTACTTGACACTGTTTCATGCCAAAGTTCTTCACTACTTCACTGAATCTACCAAACCACGCACATGGAGATTGTTTCAGCCCATAGATTGCCTTCTTAAGTCTACAAACTTTACCATCCTCTCCCTAAGCAACAAACCCTAGTGGTTGCTCCATATATACTTCCTCTGCTAAATCACCATGTAAGAAGGCATTCTTGATGTCTAGTTGAAAGAGAGACCAATTATACATTGCTGCTAATGAAATTAACACCTGAACTGAACATATCTTAGCCACAGGAGAGAATGTCTCCATATAGTCAACACCATATAACTGGGAATAGCCCTTGGCCACTAACCCGGCCTTTAATCGCTCTACACTACCATCTGGAAGATACTTCACTGTGTAGACCCTCTTACATCCAACAACATGCTTATTGGGAGGGAGAGTAGTAAGCTCCCACGTGTGATTGTGTTGTAAGGCAAACAATTACTCTTCCATTGCTTGTTGCCACCCTGGAGAAGTAAGGGATTCTTGGATAGTCTTAGGAGTGGAAACAGAGGATAGCAAAGATATAAAATGGTGATGGGAAGTAGAAAGGTGAGCAATAGAAACATAATGAGAAATAGGATGAGATGTACAATTACGTTTACCTTTCCGCAATGCAATAGGAAGATTAAGGTCAGAAGGAGGAGGTGCAACCACAAGATCTGTTAACAAGGGCTAAACTGGAGGAGGGGCTGGTGCTCTTCTGTGAGTATACACTTGTGTTATAGGTGGCCTCTCAGTATTAACCTGCACTGGAGAAGGTGGGGATGGAGCTTGAACATAAACTACGGGAAGGGGGTCTTCAACCGGAACTGGAACCACTGGAAGTGGAACCATAGGAGCAGGAGGAGGGACATCAGTACTCGAGAAAAAAGGAATGAACTCAGAGAAAGTGACATCCAAGCACACAAAGGACCGATGAGAGCTAGGGTTATAATACTTATACCCTTTTTGGGTTCTAGAGTATCCAAGAAATATGCATTTGGTGGCATGCACATCTAACTTGTCTAAACCAGGTCCTAAATTTTGAACAAAGCAAACACAACCAAAGACTCTAGGAATAAGAAGGAGCAAAGAAAGAGTAGGAAACAAGACTGAGAAAGGGGATTGACTTCCAAGGATGGACATGGGCATCCGATTGATGAGGAAACATGATGTCAGGACAGCATCACTCCAAAATCGCTTTGGG